AGGGCAGACGCTTAACGACTGAGCCACCCAGGCGCCCCTCCAGGAATTCTTTATAACAAATCCACCAATGGAGACATTAATTTACTTAATTACGGGATCGCATATCGAGTATATATGAAGTGATGTGTTCTTTAAATATTTAATTTTCGTGATGAATTTCAAAATGTTTCATCTACTTCTATCGCTACCCCCTACCACGATGGCATCCGGTAAACGTTTAAATTGTAGACCAGAGAAGCCAGCACACACGGGCCTGGAGCCCCTGGGTTGAGCAAGTTGGCTTCCACTGGCTTCTGAGGTAGGTGGCAGTTTGAGGAGGGGCTCCGGGGCCAGTGCACATGTGACTGGCAGCCTGCGGACTGGAAGGACACACTCCCGGATCCACAGGGACTGAGCCTGGCCACTTTCTAGCTGCGGGACTCCCGGTAAGTGTCTACCCTTAATCTAAAAAGTAGAAGACAGTTTTCCACACACTGAGAATCATGTAAAATAATAAATGTAATGAAGAGATGCGTTGATGTTATTAATTTCTACATCTACGTCGTGTGGCAGATGAGCAGATCCCCTAAATACGTGGACAAGCCGCAGGGATGAAGGAAAAAGAACAGTCGGTGAAATGGAGTAAGTGACAAGTACATCACTTAGGATCAGGGCCCACCGTGGCACTACAGTGGGACGAGGGACCTGGGCACACTGTTCATTAATTCTGACTATGGAAGAGGCAGTGGTCTGTGCCTTAAAGTGTATCCAATTCTCACGACGAGGAAGTATTTTCCCGACCCCACAGACCAGGATGCCGAGGCTGGACGGAGGCACAAACTTCGTGCAAGTCAGCTATGACCCGGCCATGGGCCGCCCGGACCCGCACTCTAGATCGCCAGGCCATCCTGTCTCAGCAGGGCACCAGACTTCACGCGCCCGAGTGCCAGACACTGGGTTCACCCCGCACAAGGCCCCACAACAGGAAGAAGACCAGCGGGCACACATCAGTGAAGGTAACCTTCAGCCCCCACATAATAAAAATCATGCCCATGACAGGACCTGTCTGAAAAGTAGGAGGGCGACTTGGTAAGGCCTTCAGTGCCCAGTCACAGGGAGGACCCGAGCGGAGGCTGAGCGACAGTGCTCGCTAGACAGTGCTGAGGAGGCAGGAGAGGCAGGCGCTGAAGTCGGTGACCCCAATTACTCCCTCGTACATCTACAGTGACGTTATCAAGCTGCACGGCTGATTCCACTCGGCCACGGCTCTAACAGGCCTGTCACTTGATCACACTTGTAGTTCTGCGTCTATCAAACTGTATTTTCCCATTCTCTTTTGTTTCCAGGTACATGTTCACTTAAACAAACTCCTTCTATATTTAAAAAAACCAAAACACCTTTCCCCCCTGCACTCCTTAAGAACTCCAAGACCATTCACCTTCTGGAAGAGGCCTGCGCCTGGCTCATGTGCACGTAACTGCCTCACATCAACCTCCTCCCGTAAGATAAGCAACTAAGACGGTGATGGAGCCCCATGACTGTGATCCTCACAGCAGGCAGTGCATCCTTCTCACTAACCTCAGGCTACCCATCTATGGAACGGACATCTCCTGGAAAGCTACACCACCCTAAAGGGCATATGCTAAATCACAGGTGCGTCACCGTTTAGAAGAGAATGTCTCTCCTCTGCAAAGCAGAGAATTCTTTGCAGCAGATCGGACCGGGAGGCTGTACATAATGCCCCTTCTTGGTCACCTCCAGATCCCAGGCTCCTTCACCCGTGGCCTGAACCACAAGGGCTCATAACACACAGTACCTGGTTAACTTCCCTCTGAGCCCTAAGAAGTGGAAGTTCCAGCTGACTGTTCTCATTTATAATGCTTAACAAAATAGAACCTCTTTCTTCCTGAAGTAAGGCACTTCAGGAGTGGGAAGATGGGCTTCCATAAATCGATGTAGGCATTTTCTATTAATGCAAGTATAAAACCCACAGAGAGCTTACATTTTTCCAGTGTCTGCTTTCCTGCAACCATACACTTCACCAAATCCTCCTCGTCCAATGATCCTGTGTACGCTAAAATCATTCATGGTCAACTGTGAATTCAAAACACGAAATGGAAACATAGAGTTGCATTAAAATTATGTTATTGTTTTCATGTAAGACACAGTTACTAAACTAGCAGTTCTGAAATAAGGATCTGCATTTTCTGTGACTGACTGCTCTAACAGATGAGATGCGCAAGGTGGCAAGACCTTCTAGAACCTCCTTCCGCTCTACCCCCAAAATGCATAAAAGGGAGGCAAATGGGCAGACAACAGAGTGGGAGTCGAGTTAGATTGTTTTTCCAATCTCCTAAATGTTAGGTTATTAGACGTATACCCTGAAGACAAGGGAGTGTGAAATTTCTACTCAAAATGAGAGTGTCCTTAACTACTCTGAAGCTGGAAGTTTGGGAACAGCTCAGCAATTCCAGGAACTGTCATGGTAGAAAAATAAATCTACATCAAGGGCATCTACGTTTTCATAATAGTGGACCATATGATCAGAAAACCCAACGGATGCTGGCCATGTGAATTTTTTATCGATAACATCACAGAATAGTGAAGACTCGTGCTGGGCATGTGAGTGTGAAACAAGACACTAAATATGAGGAAAGTACATAAAGAGGTTTCATTCATAAGCCCTCTCCTTGTGTCAATATCTCAGTAATGGCCTGCTTCCTAAGTAGGTTTAATAGTCTTAGATGGCACAAAGGCAGACAGTGAGCCTGACATTCACGGTGGTTTATGTATCCTGGCAAGTTAAGGGTCAGATTCCTGAAGGGTTCCCCCAAACAACCCTTCAAACACCATGTTTGCAGTCAGGTAACTGGGCCCAAAGGCTTCACATCCGATGCTCAGGGGACAGCAGAATATGAGCACACCAGGTCTGCTGAAGGAGAATACGCATCACAAAGATCTATGGCAGACAGAAAGGATTTTTTAAAAAAATGCGTTATTTGCCCTCTTGTTTCCAAAATTGTGCCAGGATATGTGAAAGAAAGGAGTTAAAAAAAAAAAAAAGTGCTTCTCCCAATGGTACCGGCAAGTAAAAAACTAAAAAAACTACAAGAAGAAAAAACACTAAAAAAAATCCAGCTGATTATTTCTTTTCCTCTTTGCAAACCTATGTGAAGGGAGAACATGAAGGAGAAAGTAAAAGAGGATGTACCGAGGAAGGAGGGTTCTAAAAATGAAGAAGGGGACGTCCCAGGAATTTCTGACGTTGAAAGCTAAAAGCAGAGGAGACATTCACAGGAAGTGCGTGTTAGTTAGAAAGGAGCCTGTCTTTGAGGACTGCTTTTCTCGTTCTCAGAAATAATCAAAGAGGAGATGAACCCTTGGTCTAATAAAAGATGTCATCATTTTTATTACAAGATTATACCTAATAATACGGAAGAGAAGGGAGACTTTACCAGGATGGCAAAAGCCAAGGGCATGTGGGAAGTACGTTACGTGGGGGCCTTGTGTTTTGGCTACTATTTCTGTGGAAGGGTCGATCACTGCTTAAAATACCCTTTCTTAAATAAATAAACACATTCTTACATGAATCTGAAAAAAGAGAATTAAAACCCGAATTGTTTAAGAGGCTGGATACGGGAGGATGAATTCTTCCTACACAGAGCTGTAAGGGTGATATCTGTTTAGACAGCGTATTACCCGTGGGAGTGTGCTCCGGGGTATGAAGTATTTTCTCACGAAGTTAAGCCAGAGGAAGTTTTTATTTAAAAAAAAAAAAGGAAAGAATAAGAGAAGAGGATACTCACATGGATATTTAATTCTACGTTTTTCCACTGACAGAATCGAGTGAATTTGTCACTAAAAAAGAATAGAAACAGTCACTGAAAAGTTGCATATCCCATGAATCGGATTTAAAGAGCAACGTTAAAGGACAGACGAGGATGGTACCACTCGTGCTGCTTCTTGACCGGAGGGACGTTTCCTTCCATATCTTTTCACAAAGACTTCACCGGTCTTTGTGGCTTTATTTCATGATTCAGGTGCACGATGTCATATTTCCCTTAAATTGTGGTGATTGTTATGGTCCCATCTATCTGAATCAGCACCATCCAAGAGAAGGCCTAACGTGAGCCCCATACGTACTTTCATTTTGATAACGTATTTTATTTAACCCCAGTATAGAGAAAAAATTATCATTTCATCATGTGTGTGATTGGTACAAAATTAGTAATGAGACTTCTACATTCTTGTTTTTATATTAAGTCGTGAAACCCAGTGTGTATTTTGCACTGAGAGCCCATCTCGATTCACACTCAGTCATTTCAAGGGCTCAAGAGCTACATGTGGCCAGTGGCTCCCATACTGGACCACGCAGCTCTAAATGACAAAATATTCGGGGGCGCCTGGGGGGCTCAGTCGGTGAAGCGTCTGCCTTTGGCTCAGATCATGATCCCGGGGTCCTGGGATCAAGCCCCAAATCGGGCTCCCTGCTCAGCGGGAAGCCTGCTTCTTCCTCTCCCTCTGCCCCTCCCCCTGCTTGTGTTCCCTCTCTCGCCGTGTCTCTCTGTCAAATAAATAAATAAAATCTTTAAAAATAAATAAATAAATGACAAAATATTTATAAATAATGGTAATAGCAGCAAACACTCAGCTAGTGCTTTCCATGGGCCAGGACTTGTTCATTTCCCCCTCCAGCGACAAGATGAGCAGGTCTGACGAGCAGGAATGATGATGCCCATTCTGCAGCAGAGGAGACCAGGGCCTGGCCAAGGCACACAGTGAGAGGAGTAGGGATGGATCTGAACCCGGACCAAATAACGCTGCTCAAAGATACAAATGCTGTAGGAGAAAAAGCCCTTAGACTAGAATCACAAGACGCGATAAGTCCTACTGAGCGGATTTGTTCCCACAATTTACTCATCTTCTTGATGAGTACTTTTTTTTCCCCCTCTGTCTAAAAAAATATCTATCCCCACAGCTTATTTAATAAAGTCGTTATTTTCATTATGTTTATTAATGAGCAACACTGTAGTGTTTGTTTTAAAACATTTTTTTTAAAGATTTTATTTATTTATTTATTTGACAGAGAGAGAGAAACAGCATGAGAGGGGGGAGGGTCAGAGGGAGAAGCAGACTCCCTGCCGAGCAGGGAGCCCGATGCGGGACTCGATCCCGGGACTCCGGCATCATGACCTGAGCCGAAGGCAGTCGCTTAACCAACTGAGCCACCCAGGCGCCCTGTTTTAAAACATTTTTTCAAAAGAAATGCTTTCTAGATTGAACACTCTTCAAAGGCAAAGAATATTCTTGGTGACTGCTGGATTTCATCTAGCCCCTGGCACAATTCCTTACACGGGCACAGTATCCAGAGTTCTATGAATGAATGAATGAATGAAAAGGAAAGGAAGAAGGGGAGAGAGGGAGAGAGTACTATGAAATACATGGTCCAGGAATTACTGGCATTCTAACAGAATGCATTAAGGCATCTAAATATCCCAGTTGCCTGGGGGGGGGAGCGGGGGTGGTTCATTTAATATGCCATCTAAGACAAATGTAGTGATCCAAAGGGGCACATGCACCCCAATGTTTATAG